GGGGATGAGGGCTTGTTGGTAGTTTTGGGTTATTGGATGGAGGAGTGCTGCAAATTTCTCTGTTGAGGCACTTAAATTATATGGAAAGTTGAAACCTTTTTTTATAGTTATTAATCATTTCTTATGTTTTATTTCAGTGATCTGATCGGTTTGTTGTTATTGTTGAGGATAAGAAGAAAATAATACTGAAACTTGATGGTTAGAGTGAAGGTTGATATGCTTTTTTTCTTTTCTTTTTATTTGGATATTTACGTATATATCATACAATTTTTATGTATTTACTTTTTATGAGCTTAATACATAAATTTAAATTTTTATATTTATAAAGGATGCAATAGCAACAAATTTTCATCATAGGCATGAATGTCGATATGTGACACAAATTTCAGGGTAGTTTTTCAAGTAAGGAATATTTAAATTTCAATTTTACTAAACTCATAGTCAAACTAACAGACTCTGTGACAAGAACACAATGATGCTAAAGTAGGACCAATTCAAGTCAAATTAAGCCCAATTCTAGTCAAACTATTTTGGGAGGTTTTCGATGCTCAATTGACATATCAAACAAATTTCAAATATAACAAGTATATATTCAAATTTAAATTCAAATTGGGCATCTCAATGAGATTGTTCCAACAAGTTCAAGTTCATTGAATGCTAACATTGTTAATACACTCAAATATTCGAACGATGTTGATCCTTTGTTTCGTTCGATAGTGTGGTCTGAATTCTTTCGTTATTTGCCTGGAGGTCTCTCATAAACTCTATAAATGAAATTGAACCCCTTCATAAAAGGGAACTAAGACTTGACTCTATAAGAGGATAGAGAGGAGAAAAGGACTAGTGTTTTGCACCGAAGATCCGACAAATGCTTTCTGCTCTTGCCACTATCTGTCACTATCAATCACAGTTGACCACCATTGGACACCTCCTGCTCATTGCAACGAAACACTGTGCAGAGTAACAATGCACCTTGTTGAACAACAACCAATGTGACAGAGTAATGAAGCATTGCGTGGAGTAGCAATCAATGTCATGGAGTCGCGAAGCTTCTATGGAGCAACTTGTCATCCTGAACACCGTACAACGAAGTCCTTCGAAGATGGTGTACCAAAGTTCCCACAACAACAACTAACTCCAACTGTTATGTAATAAGTACTCTACCAAATGAACACGGTAACTATGTGATCACTTTCTCCATGTGGGACAAGAGTGAACCTATACTCATTATGCTATAGTGGATTATCTTTTACTGGACTTAGCCCTATATGATTTTTGTTTTAGTTTTCAGGTTTTCCACATAAAAACCCTATAATGCCGATACCAGTCACTTTTATTATTTGAGTGTGTGATTAATCTGTTCAAGGCTAAGACAATAATTCATTATCTACCACCATAAATTCTTCAACACGCATCAATAACATTTAAATCTTTCAAATTAAATCATAAATATTAATAATAATAATAATAATAATAATAATAATAATAATAATAATATTATTATTATTATTATTATTATTATTATTTTAAAAGTGAAATACATCTTAAAAAGATGAGTGATTACCGATGATCACCCAATATGATATTAGTTATGTATTAGCTTAGATCAATATTAAATTTACCATCGATGAACTAATGTGAATGGTAGATAATTTTTGCTCTTTGTTTTGATAAATTATACTTAAATGTTTTAATGTGGATTTTGCATACCGCGGTCCTCAAATTATAATTTTACGTGTGAGGGACTTTGTGATGCTTCTGTCCCTTTGTTCTTTGGTTGTTGCAAAGGGTCGAAGAAAAAGATGAATAATGGCATGTTTGGAGATCTCTACCTTCCCAGCTAGCTCTAATGGAGACTGTGTCGTAAGGTAGGATAAGAGAAGGAGGCGAATAATGGGATTCCAGGGCAAAGTGGTTTTTGAGCTTATTGAAGTTCGAGTGGCCATCGAAAGTGATTTGGGACTCAAGTTTGGTGACGAGAGGGGCGATGAAGGAGGCGCAGAAGGCAAGGATGTTTTCAGCTTTGTGAGAGGCAAGGAGATTTAAGAGGAATTGTTTCACCTTGGTATGGCTAGGCTCAGAGGGATCGAGGTTGGAACAGATACATTAGTTTCCAGTGAGCTTGGTGGAGGGAATGTATGTGTTGTAGAATATGATTTTAGGTGAGGGTTTCAGGCAGGAGAGGGGAAGGGTGAAATGAAATCGTAACTGTGTCACCCATACTATTTTGGAGCCCTGATACTTAAAATCACCAACAATTTCACTAAAACCTGCAGACAAAAAAAAAAAAAAAAGAAAAAAAAAAAAAAATTCGGAAATAATTTTTTATACTGCAATAATTTCTTATAAATTCATTGTTTCCTATTTAAAATTGTAGGCACACCATAGCAAACAACTGATGCCCCTATCATAGTAGGAAGTTTACAAGCTCCCCTCACCTCAATAATAAATGAAGCAACTCTCAATTTGGCTTCACAAAACTTGCAATTCTCCTCAACAATCTCTGCAGATTTCGAAACTTTTCTTCCGTATAGGAACTTTGATTTTCCAGCATTTGAAGTTTCTGCCAAACCAATACATTTGTTGCAGTTATGAAGGATGGAGTCCTAAGTTCATGAGTTGAGTATAGCCTTCGCGAAATGGTCGATATCTTTATCAGATACCTCCCATAAATTTGCAATAATGGCAAGTGAGCCTGCAAATAAGTAGTGAAGGGAAGCACCTTGAGGAACATAGCAACCTCTCTGTCTAAGAGATCCATTGCTACAACCTGTGAGCAAAGCAGCAGCACAGCTACTGAGTTTTCCAACGAAATCTGCATGTATATATTGCATTCCTTTGGCATTAAAAGAGAAGGAAAGATTTACATACATACCACTCAATTCCCTATGTGGTTCCATATCTAACAACTATTTTTTCACATGCATGTCACCTTATTTGTGATTGAAGAAGTATACTTTACTTTTTAAAAGTTAAAATTATGATATTTTTATGAGATATTGAAGAGAGCTGATTAGTAGAAAGGTCAAAAAGTGAAGTAAGGTGTTAAATGTGTAAATAAATAGGAATTTGGTGCTATGTAGGTAAATGTTGTGAAGAAAAAAAAAAAGATTTACATACATAACACTCAATTCCTATGTGTTTGCATGTCTAACACCTAAACTTTGATTTTTACATACATGCCACCTTATCCATTCAAGAAAAGGTGTATTTTATATTTTAAAAGCTAAAATAACTGTAATTTTTATGTAGTATAAATTAGGTGTTAAATATGTAATGCATAGGAATTAGGTGCTTTGAAACTATTAAATGACGGCGACACAATTATGAAGTAATAATTAAATTAAGACAAACTTACCACTTCCATGACCAAAATACAAGTATAGGTCATGATTTTGTAAAGCTAGTAATAGTTCCTCACTTGTTGGAGCATTTCCTGTTTTGCCCTGTGCAACAACAAAAAGCTACTAGAGCACCAAATAGGAAAAAAAAATATATAATTTTAACCTAAATACAAAAAATATTTACATATATATAATTTTAACCTAAATACAAAAAATATTTACATATATACCATTTAATTCTTATGTATCCGCATATCACTAATACCTAAACTTTAACATTTACATATATTTCACCTTAAGCATGTATCAAAAGGTATTCACTTTTTAAGAGTTAAAGAGCAATGATATTTTTGATGTGATACGAAAGATTTAGGCAATATAAGTATAAAAAGTTGTGGTAGATATGCAAATACATAGGAATTAGGTGGTATGTAAGTTAATGCCCTGGAAAAAAAGAAATTGTTTTAAATGTATTTGAAGAGAGTATTAACTCCCACTTATGATTTTGAAACCATTCATCAAATTGTTGTTTTGTATGACTGAGATCACCACTAGGATTAAGCAAATAATATGCATGAAAGAAGTCTATGTATCGAAGATTAAATTCAAATGTGTTCTTCTTTTCACGGGCATGACAATTCAGTTTTAGCAAAATGCTGCCTAAGGAAAGCATGCGATAAACCTCCTGCTTTTTCAATATTGGCATGTTCTCCCATCAGATCATCTGCAGTCATGCAAGCATGGCTTAGGATAGCTCTTCAGAGCAAAAACTACTTTATTCTAAAGAAAATTTTCCTTGAAATCTAAAATGAAGGTTGTTCAAGTAGTGGACAAGGTTAGGATAAACACGAGAAAGTTATCCGGCGTATCACCTGTGCAAATCTAAAAGGAACAGGAGTAAAGTGGCAAAATAGTCCACGGACCATTTACATTGGGTCATATTAGGCCCAGAGTTTAAACAAATGCTAAATTAATCCTGAGATTTTTTTAAAAGAGGCTAAAACAAGGATTATTTCAACTAATACTAAAAGTATTTTAGGACTAAATAGACATTTTTATTGGGAGGAATTTACATGCATATTACCTAAATCCTATGAATTCACACATCTATCAATTAAACTTTTTTTTTACATAAATACCACCCAAATCTCTTATATCACATCAAAAATACAATCATTTCAACAATTAAAAAGTGAAACAATTTCATACATAGGAAAGGTGGCATGTACGTAAAAAATGGAGTTTAGGTGTTGATATGTAAATACATAAGAATTAAGTGGTATATATGTAAATATTCTTTTTATTAACTTTGGGGCTAAAATAACCTCATGCAAAGAATCAGAGGATTAATTTGACAATCTTCTCCAAATAGAAGTGTTAATTAGGTGGTTCAATACCAAACCGAAAACTTTATTCATTATCAAATGAAAGAGATTACCTGCACATCAGAATCTAAGACAAGAATAATTGGTTGTCTATCAACTTTCATGTCTTTGCCCACTGCTTCTGAAATCAAACTCTCAATATATGTGAGGATTGACTTAACTTAATTACTGTGTGCACTACCATATTGCCTTGCATGTGTGTTTGCATTTTTGCATATTATATCACATATGCATGAATACATTATTGCATCCCATCTTGCATCTGTATGTCTGCATGATTACGATCATATGTCTGACTTGCGCATTTCCTGGGGCCACTGTCACTATAGTATGTCTATCTTTCTAGAGCCCCTGCTGTCACAGCATGCCTACTCTTTATAGGTTATTTCCCTATCGGTGTACCTTCTGAGACCGTTGTCATCATGACATGTCCATCTTTTTCGGGCCCCTGCCGCCATGGTATGCCCATTCTGTCATGTCACTGCCCTACCGACACACCTCCTAGGGTTGCTGCCACTACGACATGCTCATTTTCCTGGGGTCACTGCCTCTTCGGCACACCTCTTAGGGTCACTATCACTACAGTATGCCCACCTTTGTTTGAATCTCCGCCCCATGGTATACTCATCACTTCTGTTTTGATTGATCATCTGCATTTACATTTGCATGTTTGCATGAATAGCGAGCCAGACCCATTAAGAAAGTGACTCCCATGTTGGTTGCGATGCCTTAACGAGCATTGCTTGCTGGGTCAATCCCGATGAGCAATGCGAGTTAAGTCATCGGGACTGACATGAGTATGACTGTGCTAAGAATTCAATGAATCTAACTTGTGTCACCTCCTTTCGTGACACCTTTTAGAACCATTGGATCCTTAGAATGGGGTCGGTCAAACAATCCCATCAAAGTCATTTAGATACTATCCTGATACACTTTTCGTTAGATCGTGTGATAGGCTAGGATTTAGGGTGCTAGGTACTAGGCTAGGATTTAAGGTGCTAGGTAGTTTTTTTGATGTCTGCTTATTGTTCTCTGTCGGATTGGTTGCCATAGCCAGACATTTTTCATTTGCATTATGTTTCTGGTGTGACTGCATGCTGCATATGTATGGTAGGGTGTTAGGGCGGTCTTCTGCAGGGAAACATGCTGCAGGGAACCATGCTTATTTTTATATACACACACAAGTACCGTTATGGGGGGAGCAAGTAATGATTTCTTACCATTTTTTCTGACCCTTTTGCTTGTAAGTGCTACTTAGCTCCCCCACTTTTAAGGCACGACTCATGATACATTATTTGCATGTGAGCTTTCCCACTGACATTTATTTTTCATGCAGGACTGAGTCTTTTTCTTTTCTTTATGTATTTTTGGAGTCTAGGAGAGTTCTATAACAGAAATAAGATACAGGCACAGGTTCCAAGACGTTAGCGCGGGAAGCACGTCGAGGGGACCAGGAGCAGATACTTGTGCCCCGTATCTTAATTCTGCATTTTATATTGATATATAAAATTAGGATCGGACATGTATATGCGGAGTCCGACCGCCTTTTTCTTTTCTGGGATATGTTGCCGATCCAGCAACACCAGCCTGTTTATTATCTTGATTTGACTTGTTTTATTTTTTCTTTTAAATCATGTTGCATGTCTGCACTTGCATGTGTTTTTCTTGTTTTCTTTTTGTGTTTTATCTGGAATCTCACGATATAACATAGGCTCTTTAAGACTTAAATTCTTAATTTGCTTTGTTTTTCTTGTTTTTTTTTGGGGGTTTACATAAATCTCACGATATAACATAGGCTCTTTAAGACTTAAATTCTTA